TAACATATGCACATACATACATATTTAAATACGCACGTGCCGATAACATTATTTCCAATTAAGTAAGATTTAGAAATGTGTTTTGATCTGCGTCATAGCATTCCACTGTGCTAGTTTTATTGAAAACAAGTAAAAAAAGTCTAAGTTCAGGCGAAGCCGAACATTAAATACCCGGCGCACGTTTTGAATATAGTTTTTTTTCACGGGATTGTTGTGTGTAAATTAGCGTCTGTAAATTTCGAAATATCGAAGTTTCCACATCTCTGAAATTCACCGTTTTACTTGAAAAGTGGGCGTAATTTGAGTCCTAATTCAAACATTTTCAACGCCTTTCTTTTACGTGTCAAGTACAATAATCGTGTCGAGATTGGTACAAGTTCATAGAATGGTTACCGAGTTACATATATGCGGTAGGCTGGTTTTAAATTATTTTGCCGTTCATAAGTGGGCGCGGCTACATTATAACATTCTTATTTTCCGCCTAAATACATATTATTGTAAATGTCAATTCTGAGTGACTTAGCTTCAGTAGTTACTAAAATATCGCAGTTTTCGTATTTCTGAAAACTACCGTTATACGGGAGGTATGCTGAATGGCTGTAGTCCGATAGTCCGATATCGCCCATTTTCAATACGTACCAAGTTTCGTTAAGATATCTCAAATTTTACTCGAGTTATCGTGTGCACACACGGACAGACATTCACCGCTTAATCGAGTTTTTTTTTCATTCGTTTCGTTTTGGCTATTACAAACAACCGTTATGTGAGCAAAGTTATAATACCCTTGTGCACAAGTGCGCTCGGGTATAAAAAAGAAATGAAGAGGAACTAGTTAACCCAAAATAGATTTTTTTTTACCTTTGATAACACTGGTTTACAGCAAAAATGCTCAATGGATGCCACTATCCAATTCCTATAGAATTTCCCACTGATTCCCAAAAAAGTCTAGTTAATTTTTTATTCTATGGATAGGTTTTCGAGATATTTTCAATTTACCGTTATTCAGCTTAAAACAAAAATTGGTTCCACTTAATCACGTATACATATCTTACGAACCAATTTAACAATCTTAATATGAAATACGGCAAATTAGTAAATCGGTCCAGTGTTCTTTATTTGTTAATTAAAAAATTAAAAAAAAAAATCAAACTTTAACAGAAGAAAAATTAAAAAAATAACAGGTTCTGCGTCAAATTTTTGCACTTGTGCTAAAGCCAGTTCTGTTAAAAAAAAAATCAAATTACTAATGAAGAAAATCGATGAATAAATAAGAAATAATGAGTGGTTAAATGAAAATACGCAAAGATTGTTTGTATGAAAAATGAGCAGGAAAGAAAGTTGCTCATACGCCACGTACACCTGAGTAACACGCTTTTCTACTCATGTTCCATACAAAAAATCTTTGCGCATTTTCTTTTGACCACTCATTATTCCGTATTTATCCATCGGTTTTCTTTATCAGTAACTTGATTTTTGTTTGTAACAGAACAGGCTTTACACAGATGCAAAAATTTGGCCAGAACCTGTTATTTTTTTTATTTTTCTTCTGTTAAAGTTTGATTGTTTTTTTCATTTTTTTCATTAAAAAAAAGACTGGAATGATTTATTAATATGTCTGAAACTAACAGTCCTGCCGGAAAGTGATATATATGGGTTAAGTGGAATTTTATTAGCTTTCATTTGCCGTACTTCATATTCAGATTGTTAAATTGATACGTAAGATATACGTAATTAAGTGGAACCACTTTTTGTTTTAAGCTGAATAACGGTAAATTGCAAATATCTCGAAAACTTATCCTTAGAAAAAAGCAATTAACTCGATTTTCGGAATCACCAAGCAATTCTACATAGACATTGGATAGAGGCATCTGGGGAACAAAAATCAAACTAAAATTTGTGATCCAGTGTAATTATTTCAAAGTATTTATGCAAAAAGCTATTTTCGGGAACACAAAAACAATTGATTGACATCAATGTGGAATTATAAAATTATTTTTGAACTATATTGAATTAATAACGAGCATTTACACAAGTTTATCCAACTCGCGCTTGGGACATTTGCCATTTGACATTTTCTTTTTAACCTAAACATCTATTTACGCAGGTAGTGGTAGAGATGGCGGCGATTAATTATTTGATTAAATTAATCGATTATTTTTGTCTAATTTACGATTTAATGTGTCGTAGTTTTATGTTTCATTAATAGATTGTAGAATAATCGTAAACATATTTTCAAAGGAAATATGAATTTTTTAGTTGTCTAAACTCCATCCATCGAATATTCTTTTTTGCTAGCTGCACCAACTTTACTCGAGCCGACGTTCAAAATAATTCATTTCAAAAATTCGTTAACATTGGCCTCGGTAACGAGGTTCTTGCGAAATTAAATAATGTGCGCAGAATAATCAGTAGAAAACGAGTTCGATCTTTGGGCCCCTCATAAATCTTGTGCCTTTAAAAAATTCAATCATTTGCAATAATTTTTTTGTTTGTTTGTGATTAATCATACGATTAATTAATCGATTATTTTATTTTTTCTTTTGGCCATCCCTAGGTGGTGGGTTAATGTGTCGGCTGCCCCTCGTATCAGCTGAGACAGGGCTTGTCCGCATCGTTCACTTTTTAAACAAGCTCCTGTATTTTGGTGAAATAAGAAGCTTCAGAGGTTGAGTGGTGTTTCGAGCAAACTTTTTAACTGAGCTGAATTCACTGAAGAGGCCTGGTGGTCCCTGCGAAGACAAGGAGTACAATTATTTAAAATACAAATACAAAATAAGTATCAAAAAGCACTGCCCACTGACTACATTCTGTCGAAGCCGCAGTGACTGGAATCAAGATAAGGTCGAGTTATTGCAGGGCTTTATTGTCATTACGGATGGGTCAAAGATGGAATGCGGAATTGGTGCAGGGGTTTTAATTGAGCTATATAACCTTAAGTTATCCTTCCGACTACCAGACTATGCCAGTGTTTCCCAGGGGGAAACTTATGGAAATGAGGCAGGAATGTGCTTGCAGGTAGCGAGCAGCATGATTAAGCCCATCCAGGACTGCGAATGTAGAGTGGATGTGCCCTCTATTGCAAGTTAGTTAGTTAGTTAGTTAGCTTAGCCATCTCCGTTAGGGACAGTCACTTGCGATTTTGAACTGCATGTGACCGAGTCAAGCGCTTTGAGTGCGGCTTGACTGTCTGGGTAGATGCAAATATTATTACATATGACTTATCCTGTACGTATGTACATAGGTGTTTAACCGCCTCCTGCATAGCAGCGACTTCAGCTTGAAAGACGCTGGAGTGGTTGGGTAAGCGAAATGAGTCGGGCTGAGAAGACCCCCTCCTACCTTGTCGTCTAGTTTGGAACAATCAGTGTAGAATTGGAGTGATCCTTTTTATCAGGAGCCACTCCTGACCGAAATTCTCTATCTGGAATGGAAATACTACACCTCTTTGTAAAGTTCAGACTTGGTGCACCATAATCCGTGCCCCGTATTTTAGTTAAGCTTTTTGTTCAGTACTACGCCTAGATATTTTGCGGACCTTCTAGTTTCACACTCGTGTTGCCTTTGGCAGGAAGCTGAAGGGAGGGGATTTTGTACTTCCTGGTAAAGAGCGCCAGATCAATTTAGACTGGGTTAACACCCAGACCTCTCTCCTTTGTCCATTTTTCAATTAATCATAATCTGTTCTGCATGATATCAAACAGAGTTGGTGGAAATTTTGCACTAAAAACCATCACAAAGTCGTCAGCATACGCAACGACCTTGAAGCCTCCACCGCCTTCTAGAGCCATAACCCATAAAAGGGGAGGCATAATCCACCCATCGGGGTTTCCATGCAAACGTATCTGTACAGTGACCCGCCACTAGTTCGGTTCGCATGACCCTGCCTACTAGCGGCTGTCCACTAGCTGTGAGTCAATGTCCAGACTCGTTAGAGCTGATGTGAATGATTCAGGCGTGATGTTGTCTAAAAATGCTAACAAGTTATATTCCTTTATAGGATTTCTCAATATACGACACGATTTCGTGCAGTGCTGATTCGGTGGACTTCCCCTTCATATAGTCATGCTGCGATGCCATAAGTTTGTTTGCAACTAATTCTCTGAGGAGTGATTCAATCAGTCACTCCATTATCTTGAGCTGGAAAGACGATAGACTAATAGGTCTAAAATCTTTAGACTTGAACTTTGTCGGGTCTCCGGAATTTAGTTAAGAGTGACGACTGACTTACAGCATAGCATACAGCCATTTTGAGCTTAACTTCAAAGATTGCTGTAACTGAAACCTCCATAACTGGCTGACCTCTATCTCTGATTGGCCCATTCAGTGGATGTTCAGTCGCGCGTGGAAAGCGCGTGCTCAGAAGATGGTCCAGGGATTCCTCCACAGTTTCCGTTAGATCTTGCCAAGCATCCCGGGGCGATTAGCATTCCATTTTATACAGGAAAGGTCGAAAAACGCACACCCACACACTTTTAGATGCAGATTTAGGCAGATAACGTTAGTGATTCCAAAAATTCAGTTGTTTACCGGCCTGTGATTTTCCCCTAAATGCTGATAATTTCTATCTACTACACATGCTACAATCAATACCGGTTACAAATGCATAGTAGTACCAGAATAAAATAACACAAAATTTTTTTGTTGGAAGCCAGTCCACCAGTGCAAAACCAAATCAGCTTTATTAAAAACATTAAGTTAAGAATTTGCTGTTAAAAAACCCCCTTTGGCAGCATTGAAACAAACCTGAAAATTTTAAATAGATGAATTTGGGTAAAATACACACTTGAGCACATAAATATTTCAATTAAACCTTAACAAGGTTAAGTATGTATGTACATTCCACTTAATTACACTATACATACGTGTGTACTCTCATATTTATGTACATATTTACTCAAATTAAAGTAATTTATTTAGCCAAATTATTCACAAATAAAGAAAGTAAATAATTTTACTAATTTTTTGTTTTTTTTTTTCATACGCATATATACATATCTCAGGTGGATGCCGGTGCCGACTTTATTATCACACAAATCTGCTTTTCACCTGAGTCAATTTTGCAATTTGTGCAAAGGTGTCGGGACAACGACATCAATGTGCCCATCATCATTGGCATTATTGTGCCAGATAGTATGCGAGCTTTGCATTTTGTACTGAATATTGTGAAGGCAGTGATTTCCGAAGAGCAGCTGAGTAAATACAAGGAATTAAAGGATAGCCCGGAGGCGTTCAAAACGTATGCGGTTGAAAATGCGCGGCGTACCGTACAAATGGTGCTGGATAGTGATGCAAATGTTTATGGGTTTCAATTCTTTACAATGAATCGCTTTGAGAATGTAAAGCTTGTTGTTCAGCAAATACTGGATCAAAATTTTATAAATGTAAGCTGAATAGATTACATAAATTTTAGTTAAAATAGCTTGGTTAAGAAATTTAAAATAAGACTGCCGTTATAAAGAATAAAATTTCCTTTTCGGAGAAAGAGCTTTATTGAGGTAAGAAATATAATGGGGATGTTAGTAAGTACCTATTCCTATAAGTTATCCATTACAGTTCTACGTAGCACAGGGTTTTTGTCTTTATGGAGGCAGGTGGAAAAAAAGTCATGGTGGCAGCTGATAACAAAAAAAAAAAATAATAGGTTGGACTTGGAGAGAGAAAAGTAAAAGTCATAAATACCAAGTTTCACATCTTTTACTCCCCCTCCCCTACTGGAATCGGCGCGATACCGACTAATCAGTTTATTTACATTTGGCGCTGAACCCATTAAAGAAAGTCTTTCTTTTTCAACCGTAATCAATTGTTTAAGTGACGTGGAATATTCAGATGAAGGTATTTTAAAATTTTTATTTGTTTTTATCAAAAAATTTACTTTGAAACGTGGATGCTAAAAATTATTAGTAAAAAAAGCGTGAGGACCGTTTCGTCAGGTCTTAAAATTAGACGCATGGTTTAGAGAATTTCATTTAGTTTTCGAATATATAATTGGATCTTTTCGCGCGACTTTGCAAATATTTGTAATTTTAGATTTTCTTGATATCGCGAAAAGAAGTTTTCAAACAATGGAAAAATCACACTAAATATTGGAAGAAAGGAGAGTATTTACACCTATGTAATTTTTAAGTATAACCTGAGAATGGAAAGCAGAAAATAAAAATGAACCAAAATTCCATTACATTCAATGATTGGGCTCACCATTTTTGCGAGTTGCAGACCTCCACCAATCTTACCCATATTTTATGGTTAGCGTTTAAGATAAAAGAGAGAGTGCAAACTTAATTTTCAAAATCGGATGAAATTTAATGCTTCCGCCCTCAACAGGGGAGGCCGTTGCAAGTATCGCACCTTTACCAAATTTCATAATTCTCTATTACTAAGTCAAATTAAAGCACATGTTAAGTCGAATCATTGTGCGTCGCCTCCAAATGGCAAATCAATTTAATCATAAGCCTTTTTTATAGCAGAAATATACTTGGAGGTTTGCCATTGCTATTCGATCGATTTTGCGTTCTGTTTTTTGGCTATTTTCGAACAACCATCTTTAGATAAATAATTATCTAAAAACTTAACAGAAATATAGAGAATAAAGAGAGTAAAGAGAGTAATTTTAAGATTTATAACTAGTCTCTTTTGTATTTTTTTTAGAGAAAAATAGTTACCTCTGATATAACCTTTAAATAATTTTTTTCTTAACACTAGAGTGAACGCGCCATTTTTTTACAACAATGTACGTGTGGCACTATAGTAGACCATATTAAAATGTTAATCTGCCTTATCCTGAGTTTCGCCTAAAAAAAAAAAAACCGAAAATTTGTCATACGCCCATAGTAAAACCATGGAATCAAAAGTGAAAAGTGAACCGGTTCGGGGAAAATTAAACTCATGATAAGGCTGAATATTTTTTTAGATAACATTTAAATGAGACTTATAGTTAAAAAATATATTTAAATCTATTAAGTTTATGATCACAAACTTAAATTTTTTCATAGCAAGTAGGAATTTAAAAAAATAAATAATCAAGAACTTCCCTATTCCAAATTTTATTTGTTACAGAAGTATTTCAATGGATGTTTAGCGATGCAAAGCGGGTTTCAAAAAATTGAGGGACTATTCTTGTAAAAAGTTATCAGTGAAATTTTTTCCAGTATTGACATTCATTTGGTTGATTATGAGAGCGTCGATTCCAACAACGTTCATCAAATCGAAATATATTTTAAGTGGCCATCGGAGGTAGTTACTAAGAACACTGATGCACCTCATATGCAAAGAAACCAAATTACAAGTAATTTTTAAGCAAAAAACGCAACCGACTTCAATTCGCATATACAAATTTAGGAGTACCGTTAAATTGTTCATGATCAAATGATCGGATCTAAACCAAATTAGTATGGGACCACTTGTGAAAGACTACCTTTCCGATAGAAAAACAATTATCGAAATTGGTTATGGTCCATAGTTTTGCGATAACATACACGAAAAAAAAATTATTCCGACGAATTGCTAACCTTCTCCTTTTTTGGAAGTCGGTTAACAATAATGAAATCTTACTTGTAAATATTTCATGATTTAAAAAATTAAATGATTTTCACAGTTACACAGCTCTGATAAATACATACATATATATATTAGGACGGGATTTTTTTTTGTAATGCGCATATAGCATAGGAGGTTTTTACGTGTAATTCTAAGCAAATTTTCCATGGGTCTCAAATCAATTTGTAGTTCGCCAAACTGCAAAAATAGGTTTCGAAGAAAATGTGAAAATTTTCACTGCTACGCCCTCTGGTGGGAGTTTTAAGAAAATGGTAAGCGCATGTTTTTATTCAAAATTTAAGCATTTCTTTACTACACTATAGCAAAATGCTATAAAAACCTATTTTCGCAATTTGGCAAACTCCAAATTTATTTTACGGCAAATTTGCTTAGAATTACACGTAGAATCCTCTTTCGCTGTACGCTATACATACATAGCCGGGAAAATCTCTCATTCAAATTGACCCGCCCTAACGTACATACATATGTACATACATACAATTCAATACGCTTAAATGCACCCAATTTACTGCAGCTCGTTTACACATCTTTTGCTGCGCAATTACCTTTTCTTTCTAAGCGGCGCCTCCATCTTGTAAAATTACACTACAATGACTAGCAAGCACTTCAATCCATACACTTTTCACAACACAAATATTGAATTAGGTTATGTATATGAAATTAACAAACCTTTGTTCACTTATTAAAAGATATTTGCACATTAAATCTTTAATTTTTATCACTGCTTTATTAAACTTTTCACTTGAATGGAAAGACCACGCACACGAGCACCTTATACAAACGACGATTTACGTATGTAGAACTAAGGATGCGGAACTGCTGATGATAGGAACACAGAGAGAAAGGTAACTAGTTTTAAAATTATTATTTTCCATTTTCTGATTTCCCATTAATACCAGCGAAGACACTAACCAAGAGTTTTTGCGCACCGAAGATTTTGCAAACACAGGAAGATACATGTGCTGAGTTTTTGCAACCATTTATTCAAGTGGATGTGGAAAGCATGAATGCATATACTTTAAACTGAAAATAAAATAACACAATTTAATGCAACTGGGTTCTTAACATATGTACTTATGTTTGTATGTAAATAGCACACACATGCAGTTATAACATCTATCACAGTTTTTTGCGACCACCCTGTGAACTAAATGAATCTAATTGGTTGGTGTCATGGTTTGTGTAATTTTTGAAAAACTTTTAATAAATTTGATGCAAGTGAAAATTCATGCTTTTCCTCTCTGTGTTCCTATCGCCAACAGTTCCGTTACATTTGTTTGGAAAAAATTCGAAAGAGGTTTAATGAATATTAAATTTTAAATAAGTTTGTGTAAAGTTTCAGATCGAGTGCTTTAATTTGATATATAATTTGTCTCTGTACGTTTTGTAGATCGCTGGGAATAAGCCTCTTGCTTTAGAATAATATATATGCAGATTGTTTTGGAATAATATACACGTATACGTTTCGATCAAATCAAAGGGTGAGCCATGTGAAATATTTTTAGTAGTGCATGCACGTCCACAAATTAGAAAGTTTATTTGATTTATTTTTTGAGGTTTGTGTCACAACTACATTGAATACGTATTATAAAATAAATTTGATTTCCTTCCACCCTGTGTTTCTGCCATCTCCAATTCCGTATCCTCAGTCGTGTTTCAACTTTCGTTAGTGTTTGCAGCTCGTTTTTCTGCCCTTCCGTTCGGTTCGCTTCGGTAATGAAAAGTTTTATTAAATTGTGATTTAAATTAAGTATTTAAGTGCAAAACTATGTTTTGTTAGGTGTTTAACAGTGTTCAGTGAAGTACAAACACATTAAATAAAAAGTTAGGTATATGTATGGCCGATGCGCCGCCAGCGAAATTTGCCAATATTCATGCAAAGAACACATTTGGACCATCAGCAAGCTGGCCTTTGTTATAGCAACTTGCTATGAACGGTATATGATAACGTAATTAGAATAAACTGCTTGTGGAGAACGAAATTCCGACGAGACATACGATGTCAGTCCCATAGATCTCCTAGATGTGAGTGGCGATGATTTTACAACTTAGGCAGTGTGGATCAAATATATGTAATATATATCACCCACATTGCGGGCAGCGGCTTTGTGATACTCAGAATCAGTGTTGCCAGAACTTTTTTGGCCAACCGGCTAAGTTGGCAAAAAGAAAAACGGCTAAAAACGGCCCTACTGTTTCAACTAATGGTGATTTCGTTTTTTTCCAAAAGATGTTGCCCTTCCCGATGAAAAATGTGTTTGATATTACACTCAGCCCTGTAAAAAGGCATGTTTTTGCTTTCTTGTCCTTGTATAGCTCACGCATTTAAAATAATAAAGACAAATGTAGATCTTGTTTTTTGCCCCTCTGAAAGTATTTTCAAAATTCTATACAAATTTTTATGCTTGAAATGCTACCGTGGACACTAGCTGGCAGGGAAACTTGCAAATTCCTGCAAATTTGCGTTCGGGCAGAAATTTGCAAGTTTTGCTGTACATAGAAATTTGTGCTCTTCTATTTTCATATTGACGCATTTCAGTATCGGTTCTTTTTTAAATTCAAGTTGGCCTTCGGTTTTAAATAAGTAAGTAAGTTTAAATAAGTTCTCGGCAAAAAAAGTTTGTTTATAAAAATACATACATATGTGTACATAGTGCTTGAAAATATCAATTTTTCCTTTACCTTAAACCTTTAGGAGTGGGCAACAATGATGTTTTGCAATTAAGGCAGAATTGAATATGCGCTATCTGGGAAGACAACATCTACCTGTAATATTTATTCCGTGTTTTGGCACTATATCCGAACACAAACGCGTGTTAAGCAAACAGTGAAACAATTGCGAATAAAACTTCCCACTTAAGTTTAAGCCATTCATAAAAGACA